ATGATCAATACTTGAGATATCAGTATTAATTAATTATGTTAATTAGGTGATTAAGAAGCATAAATATTTACCAAAAACTAATATGGTGCATAGTCTTAGGTTCATTGAAATGTGATGGGTACTCTTTAAAAGTTTCATTGAAATCCAATGAGTAGTTTTTAGACATCATAGAACAGCAAAAAATTAACTAGTTATGCAAATTAGGTAATTAATAGGCACAATTATTTATCCCAAAATTAATCAGGTCTCTGCATAGTCCTAGAATATCTATGTCGCAAGTCTCATTGAAATGTGATGATTAGTACTTGAGATATCAGGTGAAAAGCTGAAAATTAACTAATTATGTTAATAAGGTGATTAATATGCACAATTATTTACCCAAAAACTAATTAGGTCTCTGCACAGTCCTCAAGTAACTACCGTATTTGTCTTCAATTAGGCGCCACTTTGTTACACTTTCATGTCATGGTGGCGCTTATTTGTGGTTAAATTTGAGCAACTTTGTTTCAAATGGCGCTTATTTCAAGCACTTCAAGTTCTAGGACCGGTAATTGTGTTCCAAGCCATTGTTTTTGCTCCATTCTGGTGATAGATTATTGACAATATTTTACATTACAGTCTGACGCTTAGTCACTGTAGCCTTTATTTTAAATACTGAGTAAATGACCCGTTTTCAGACAGTTTAGAAAGTTATACAAAAAATATCATTCTTTAGAAAACATTCACAGTTTGCCGTACAATCAACAGAAAAATAAAACAAACACAAATTCAACGCTTAGTAGTCAATGATCACGGTAGCAAAATCCGGTCATGCTGCATTCCACGGTTACGATTATTACTCAGTAGTAGTTATAATAACGTACAAAAAATAAAATGCAAGTAAAATTCAACTTAATTTCATCGTAAGCGAATGATTCTGGTCGCATGTAAACGCTCGGCGCGATTCGATGTCTGCCATGCTTCCTGTCTAGGACTTGACCTGGAACGCGTTTTTTGACCTGATAGGTCAAGTCGTTAATTAACCAATCAAAATGCTGGATGATGCCAACGTGATCAAATTAC